ATTCCAATGCCCAATGTACAAAACAGACCGAGTCACCTTTTTCAGTAAAACCTCATTCCTAAAAGCTGATTCAAGGCCACCAGACAGTCAAGTATGCCATGTATTTAACAGTGCCAACAAAGATACCTTAGTGTCCCTCTCCAACTTTATAATCAAATCATTCAAGAAAAGAAGTGAAGTGGTTGCTCTGCTTGGTAACTCCTAGCATATCCCTTAAAATGTCAGTGTATGGTCCCAATGTTGTGAGAAGTGACTCGGCAGTGGGACTGAACATGGCACAATATTTATATCTGTGTAACTTATTTACTTATCGGTCTTATGTAATTGTCATTAATCGTAATTATCAATGTCATCAAACTGGCTTTGAACAGCCATGTAAACAGCTATGTAACGGTGGTTTTAAGTTTTTTTAAAAAACATATTCTTTTTGTGTAACATGTTTATACTATGTTTATGTTAAATTTATAATCACACCAAGGTTTATCTCATTGCTTAGATAGAATATTTTATAAGTGACTTTACTAGTACTTATCTTCATTATATAAAGATGGTAATGCACTAACTGTATTGTATCGTCATTTGTATATCATATTGTACAAGGTCATGACAATCTATGTACCAGTACAGAAATAAATTGAAATTGAAATATAACGCTAGCTGTCACACATTTATGAGTGGTAGTCATTGTAGCCTAAGTTACGCGTATAGTCTAGAGAAAAGAAACGTTTTGCACAGTTTAGCATCGATTCATTGTGTACCACTTGCTTACACACATATACGAGTGGTATTCAAATAAGTCACATGCATATATAGTCGTATGAAATGTAATAAAAAGTGAGTATAAAACATATTATTACGGAATGAAACACAATAAATGGACAGTAATTTGAATATTTAACTATAAATTAAAAAAAAAAAAAAACAAGATTGAAAATAGAGGCGTCATAAAGTCAACTCCAGTGTGGGACTCGAACCAACATATTGTTAAATTACTACATACTTCCCTGTCATTGGTTACCATAGTAGTCTCATCACCAGTGTCGCTGTCCACTACACCACCAGGTCGTTGTGCAAACCACCGCCGTTTTGTTATATTATATTTACTTGCATCATTATAATTCTATATTGTCAATATAAAGCGCTTTTACTAAATATATACTGTTCTACAGTAGGACCCTAGCTTTTAGACCCAGTTCTTCTGTATGACGGGCGGACTCTGTGTTTCGTGATAGCTGTCATGAAACGTAGGGTCCGGTTAAATGCAGGGTCCGGGGGACCCTGCATATTATATCCAATTACCATGATACAAGGTCCGGGACCCGTTATTTCAGAAACCAGGGGTCCTACGGACCCCTGGTTTCTGAAATAACGGGTCCCGGACTTTCTGTCATGGGGGACCTTCTGGTACATGACACCGGTCTCCTCTATTAAATACGAAAGTCATATATTTTGCTTTCAAATCACCATATTTTCTTACAGTGACAGTTTCCTGTGTTTACTTGTGTCTGGAGTCATTTTCTCTTGTGATTTGTGCTGTATTGCGGGGTTTTGCATATTTAAGTATGACCCCCAATTTGGCAATTACCCCCAAATCCTATGAAATCAACATGGAATTTTTCTTTGGCAAATGAAAGGGCATGGTATTGCATCCTAGGGCTCCGACCTATGTCTCCCATCACCACTATACATATGCGGTTCTGTCCTGGGTCCATGCTGTTCCAAACGCACATTAACAGAGTTAAAGTGGCCACTCCAACCGCTATACCAAACAGAATCATCAATACAATGAACGTGTCGGATGGAAGAGATGTGGAGCCTGAGATAGAGAGAAATGGAGATAGTAACTTCTCCAGTTTATGTACAAAACTCATGTAGGTCCATTCAAGCATGTCCATGATGCAGACAGAATAGCTTTCACATATACAAACTCTTTTCAAACAGGAACTCCGACTCCTTTATCGTTGCAAAACACAGTAGTACACATTCGGCGAATGACCTAGTTTTCAACGTGACTTGACCCATTTCCTCATCAGCGTGTTCTCCGTTGTAAGCCTCTTACTCGTAATGCCTACAACACATGTATATTGAGATCTTAATTGAAAATGAGATTATAGCTATTGATTTTTTTTATATTAAAGATATAAGAGAAAATAAGAGCATCCATGTAACATTGCTTGTGATTTCTTTTAAAATTAATCAAAAAGTATTTTGCTTTAAATTGTTTTATTAATATGCAGGAAATACTTATGACGAGATTTTGCGTGATCTAAACAAATCAAAAATTTTCAAAATGGATGGAGAGGTTAGTAGTACGTCTGCTGAACAAAAGGTAATTTTACGTTAATATGATTAGAAGTTTTTGAGTTTTATTGATTTTTAAAAAGAATCCAAAGAGTGAAACAGGTAAAGAATGCGTGAAGGCAGGATATGTAATGTTTTTGCTCTAATTTGCTATTGACAGTTGAAGGTGACCCCTCCCCTTTATTTTCAATTTAGCTGTCTGCTAATTTTCAGGTATAGTCGGTAAAAAAGACGAGCATTTTTTGTCGTCACTTTCACATGGGCTAGTTTCTTTTATCTTTTTACTTCCAAGCAATTAATTGTGTAATTGTAAAATCGTAATGATGATTTTTAAGTTGGGTGTTGCAGATTTAGTTTGGTTGGAGATTTAGAAATATTTATAATTTCTAATGTTTCAAGTACATAGCCATCAACGTAGTTCTAGGAAACTACCAGCATTATATCCATGTTTTGGTATTGCTAATTTTATAATTATCCATAGTGAACAGCAATGCTTACACATTTTACTTTACCTGCCCTCTGTTATTTGCAACCATGGCATGACAAGTTATGTATTGTCCTTTAAAAAGGGACGTTTAAAAAGTCTTTATTCCGACTGATCTTACATAGATGTCAGATCACTGGTGTCTCCCTCCCGAATTATGCACCAAAGGCTTTTCGTGACACAAAACACCAGCTATACATATTCATTACATCTCTTTACATACTATAGTTACTTATACTAAGGTACAGTTTACCATTACACATTATTATTAACATATACATGTGAATACTCTTTTACATATTTATCACATTGTTGAAAAAAATTTTGGTTACAAATTGAAGGAAAAAGATAAGTGGATAGAGAATTAACGTACTGTATATAAAGATCAAATACAGGTTTGTGGTAGAAAAAAATTTGTTGGTCACAGTCACTGTCACTATTTACACCTTTAGTATGCAAATTTCGTAGGTCCAAATTTGCATTTATTGATAATCATAGTCCACATGGTTTTTGTATTTTGCAACCCTTTTCAACTACATGTACATGCTAGCAAATGGAATCATAGAAGGACATAAGCATGAATGTAATTTGATACCATGGTGAATTACAGCTGAAAACCTTTGCTAAATAATGGTAAACGCTTTTAAGATGTGGACTGGTAACATAATTTCAGAATATGTGATGCCACAATCAGTTAGGTACTCCAATGTAAACTGCATTGGCTACAATTTGTGATTAAATTAATTATTGACTCCTCTTCATTACTTGGTTAAGCCGTGCTGACCATAGTTTTTAGTCAGTATGTAATTTAAGAACATTATTAGTCAGTATGTAATTTCAGAATATCATTCAATTTGTGTTCTCAGATGTTCTGTACATAGGGTGTATTTCCAGAGATTTAGATCGATCCAGGGATTAAAATTTAGATCGACCTAACTCCCTGGGGGTTCACGCTAAATTGCAGTCAGACGAGTGCGCACCATAGTTAATTACCCCCTTACAGCTTTTAGTAGGCGGGACAGACGCTTAAGCCGGCCAAGCTGACAGTAATCTAGTGAGACTCCCCGCAGGGATAGATCGATCTAAAAATCTATGGAAATGGGGTGTAAGACTATCACTAACAAGATTATAGAAGATGCCTGTGTCAATATAGGCTAATTACACACATATGGTTTTCATTTAGTTGTCTGGGCAAAAAAAATCTAACCCATTTAAAGTGGAAAGTAGAAGAAGACCAGTCTTGTTGCTCTGTATATTGCAGTGTTATCTTCCTCTCAAGCCCAAATCAGTGATTTATCATTTGGTTATTTGAACATGTCCTTAAATCAGTAACATTACTATCTATGTATATTACATGTATCTATAGTATACTGTAACAGTTATTGATAATTTTTGTTCGTAAATTGATAAATATTGATCAGTTCACCGTCATCATCTTTTTCTTCACCAACCTAAGTTTGTTTTCTGAAATGAATCATAGGCCATTAAAAACTCAGCCATCAAAGTGTGTAATAAGTGAATTTTGCTGTTTTGAAGTAATAGGATTGATGTTACACTTATTGTATGACTTTTATAAAGCATACCTCTTGTACTGTTCTGAACAGATATGGCAGTAATTCTGTGTTCTGTAAGCTTCCATAACAGTTTGCAAAATGAAGTTTATGTCTCCTTGATCTAAGCTAATTTGAATATAACAACATGCTGATAAAGTGATGTGACAAACTCAAGTATGATGTTCGAAATTTGGCCGGTGACGGCCGCATTTATTGAAAGTCCCAAAACTAAGAGAAATGAAGCAGACTAATAATAAACACTGAATAGTGTTGACAAATGACATTTAACATTAATGTGTGCGCCTGAAATATCTACATTTAAAATAAAATTTCCGAAGAAATAGTGCACACATTTCAATTTGTGGGGTTGCAAAGAGCGCCATAACAGTTTGCAAAATGAAGTTTTAAGGTCCCTTGGTACTTGTGCTATATGTATTTTTCAACCAAGTAACAAAAGAGATTTAGAGCTGCATGATAAGTAAGGGCCCCAGTAAGAGATAAACACATGTCTCGAGTTACAAGTAGTGAGGTTCATTTCACATTGATATCTTAGGAGTAGTCCTGTAGCACTGTTGGTAGATAGGAATAGGGAAAAACAGTAGGGTACAATATCAACATGAATGTGGCTTAGTGTAAAAAGCTCATTGAGCCTAGTACTCAGTAGGTATCTTTTGGTGGAGATGATGTTTTATATCAAGAACAAGAGGAAAGTTGATTTCAAAGAGGTTTTAGAACATCCAGTCATGGTAAATTTCAATTAATTATCTTTTTAGTTTGCCTCTCCACTCTTTATTTTCAGCAGACATCCAAGTTTTTATTTCCCTTGATTTGGAAATGTTTGATTTGTTTGCATTTACAAGCAAGACACGAGACAAAACTTATTTAGTCAATATAGATTTAAGAGAAAAGGCAAATTTTGCTGACTACTGGTATTTGAATGTATTTTTTACAAATAAGTATGCAAAAAAATATTTTAGCAATGTTCATTTTCTTCTATGTACATTTCAGAACAGATTTTAGCAATTTTCTTTGTCTTCTATTTACATTTCAGAACAGAGAGCTGGATCAGTTGAAAACTGACTTGGAAGGCTGGAGAGAAGTTGTGCTTCCAATGAATAAGATTTTACATTGGGAAAAGCCACACTACCCAGCTGTAATTGTTGGCCTTATCTCCTTTGTATTTTTGTAAGTATTAGAATTTAGAAAGCGTGTGCAAGTGAAGCAGGAATAAATTGCATTATCTGGATATTTGATGGCGTCCCGCAAGGAGTTGGACTTCTGCCTTAATGGTGCCTATCAAAATTTAATAGAGCATGTTTATGTGGAAAAAAAGAAATGAAATATTTGTGAGACTAGAATAGATTGCATTATCTGGCTATTAGATTGTAAATATAAATTATGATTTTAAGTGTGAATGTGTTGCTCTCTGCCTTTATGTGATAAGGTCTTTGCTATTAATCTTTTAAATGATGATTTAGCACTTGAAAACAAGTGAATGTGTTCATTTAAAGGGAAATGAATAGAAAGCAACTCATTTTGTTTAGTGAAACTGATATTTTACATTCATCAGTCTGTACCATAAACCTTTCAGCTTACTAGCCATTTGTACCACTAGTTTTCTTAAATCTACTGGTTGGGATTGAGTTCACTGGGCTAAATAAAAATTCAATAATACTGGTCATTTTCCACTATTCTCTTAGTAAAAATAACAAGACTTTGATTTTGGCAAACATTTTTATTTGAGATTTAGAATCAGCGTGCAAATATTACATTTCAGAAAAATAAATTGAATCAAAAGCTCTTTTGAAAACTTATAGAAAAATTCTAATGTCCATATCAGGGTACTAAATTCACACATTTTGAAAAATTTACTGGTCCAAACTAAATTCAACTGGCTGCAGGCATAGGACCAGCAGCTAACATTGCAGACTGCATCTATTTTGAACACTTTTATGTTTTAGGCTGATATGGTACTTTGAGCCTTCAGTGCTGACAACCATCTCCCTGTTGGGTTTAACCATCTGCCTCATAGATTTTTTGGTGCCTACTGTAGCCTCCAGTGTTTTTACTAGTGAGCACTGGTAAGTTGATTATGTATGTGTTGTGTTACAGGTTTTTAGCAGATTATATCCTTAACACGTAACCCTTTAAATTCCATAGAGTTTTTATGTCATTTGGAATTTATAAATCATCTGGTTAGTATTCTGTGTGTGTAATATTGTGAAAGTGCTGTTCTGCTTAGTTTGACATTTTGAAATTGATGTACACGTGAAACTTAGTACACCTTTGGCAAAAATGTGCATGTGGGATGCCAAGTTTGATTTGGGACTTGGGGCTAAAGTAATACCACTGTAAAATCGAGATATTATGCCTGGAGAAAAAAATGCACATATTATATAATTTATATGAATTATATATATATATCTAACCGAAATAAAACATTTCACTGCCTTACATTTAATGGATCTGTATTCACCTTATGTTTTAGATCATTAAATTGGCTCATGTTTTACATTTGAGCATCTGACTCAGTTTAAGCTTTAATGTCATAGGTATGTTTGGGTTATATCCACAGTGTGGAGATGAGTAAGACTTGTGAAAGCAATTTATTTTAGATCAAGCACTATGATTAAGAAAGTTGCCTAAAGTATTTTAACAGCTTTATATACTTTTAGAAATGATCTTATGTCTACCTACACATGCACTTCTCCGTTAGGAGTACTAGCACATAAAGGATATATATATATATATATATATATATATATATATATATATATATGTTTTAAATTGATTCTTAGAGCAAATGAGTAATGTTTCCCAGGAAAATTCACCCTTACCTAGTGATGTGTATATGTAAATTCATTAGATATTCAATATGGACAAATTTGCTTTTAAATTGTACTTCACAGTGTGAAAAATCCTTTCTTTTCTTTTTTCCCCTTTGAACAGAAATGTATTTATATTAAGAAATGTAATTGGCTGTCAACTTTCAGGACTGTCCTTCAGGAGCAGCAGTATGAGCAGATTTGTCTGAGAATTCTTAATGCCAAACATCATTTGATGGATATGAAAAACACACTTAACAATTTAAAAAGCGAGAAGCCTGCTCTGGTAAGTAGTAATGATTACAATCAGCTTTTTCCCCTATGGGTCTTATTGGAATATATTTTGCCTAAAAATAAAGCATTTTATTTCATTATTTTGACTTTGAAATTTATTTGAAAAAATGTCTATATAGATGTTGGTGAAGTTTAAAATAATGGTATTACCTATTAAGTAAGCTAATAACAATTTGGAAATGAAAATTCAAATGCTGTCAGTATCACAGTTGTACATGTTCATTAAAAGTACACAAAAAACTCAGCACCATTTACACATTAAATACTTGCATTAACAATATTTAATTGGTGATCAACATTCTCGGTAGTTACCTATGGCAGTTACTGTACACACTGTAATAGATTGAAGACTCCAGTATGTTTTTATTTTACATTTTGGAAGTGTTGTTATACAGTTTTAACTGTATTTAAAAATGTATTTTACAATGTTACTTATTTTTTGATGTACCAGTATTTATGTGTGCATTTGCTGTCATTTCCAGTATTTTGTCTTGGTAATGGGATTCCTGACCATGATGGCATGGCTGGGCAATCTGATGGACAATCTCTTACTGACTTATCTCCTAGGTGAGTCCACTTTGAATATGTAATAAAATCAATATACTGTCATTACAGGGATTTTTTTTTCCAAATTTGAGTACGCCCAAGCATGTAAGTTTATTGCCTCCAGCAGGAAAAAGATATTAATTAAAATGTACATTAAACAGCTGTCATCAGTACCAGCATGCCTCATATTTTAAAGATTCTTTATAAAACATAATATATCAATCATCAGGTGGTTCAGTAGTTTCTTTTTCAACATCTAAACATGTAATTCCAACTTGATAATGTTATAGTTTTTATGTATCAACCACTATCATTGATTAGCTGAGGTACCTTTAAGTTGCTTGCTATATCATATATTATGACTTGCACTTTCAAGTTAAGTAGACTGAAAATTGCTTTCAAAGAGACACAGTATGAATGTAGTCTTTTCTGCTTTTCAGTGTGTTTCATTGTGCTCCTGCCTGGCATCCGTAGCCAGGGAGCACTACAACGCTACATCAGCTGGCTACAGACCAAACTGAAAGATGTTCTTGCAGGAAAGCCTAAAGCTAAGAAGAATTAGTGCAAGCAGCGGCTAATCTTGCTTAATAAAATGTGTGCTATTTGTGCCTTAGTTAAAGATAGGCTCAACCTTCAAGAAATCGAACCTTCAAGAAAATGACAAAAAACAGAAGTGAACATTTTATTCGCTGTTTTTCCGCCCGTCATGTCCATCGTAAATACTCTTTGTTGTCAAATAGAGCATCTGATACAAAGTATCAAACACGGCATTCACTTGCTTGTTTACGATGCGTTTAGTACAATTTGTTTACACTGACAAGTCAAGGTCAGAAATGCACAATTTTATCTGTCTAATTATGCAGTTTAAATTTTGATTATTGAATTTGCTTTAATCTGCATGGTCATTTTCTCAACATTTGTATAAGTTGTGAAATATTTCTCATTGGAAAATAACCCAGCTTTCCAATTACAATTGAGTGACATCAGGACTACTTTCGGTTTTTCGTCGAGATAGTGAAGGCATTAGTGTTATGGCTTGCTACACATTTAAAGCTTTCTATCTCAATTTCTATGCAACTGTTTGCCAATGGACTGAAATTTACAACACTTATGCTTTATATAATATCGCACAATATTTGAGAGCTTTTTCTTCAATACCCATTCAAATTTGAAAATGAGCCATTTTCTGTCGATTTCTTGAAGGGCGAGCCTATATCTTTTCAAGCACTGCATAGATGTTTTATATGTGAACCAAACCATATAGATGCAAATTCTCCACATCTTAGTCTGAATATAGTGTTTAAATGCTGTATGTACAGCACATGTACAAACATTGCCCTTTCTGCACAGAGTGAAATGCTGCATTCAGATATATATTTAAAACTTTGACTGGTCTGCAACTTGTTCAAATGTCAATTAAGCAATTGCCATTAAACATCTTTTCAGATATGTTCATGTAGTAGAATGGATATTGATGTGGTAACATTTGTAAGTGCTAAATATGAGTGTGTTGATGTTGTTATTCAAACTAAACCATTTCATGTATAGGGAAGATCCTGTATCATGTTTTTATATCGTTTTGGTCCTCACAGTGTGTGTGAAATGTTTACTGTTGTAGAAAAAGCTCTGTTTGAATTAACAGAGCATCTCATAAATTTAGTCAGTACCATCTTATTGTTACCTGCTAGTATTTAATACACAGATACCAGTGATATTACAGTGGACACTTAAAATGAGTCGTTTCCTTAAATTTTATCATTTTGTTAAGTTGCAGTGATGTAACTTTAAAAAACTGAATTGTAATTAATTTATTTATCCACTTCACTTGCAAGGCAACTGAACTTGGATTGAAGTTTTTTAAACGAAGACAGTGACTATGTGTGTGAAGGAGTCTTCTCCGAAGTGAGTGTTTGTTCAGGACGCCTCACTAGCTTGTAAGATCTGGTTTGTCAACTACATGCGACTTGCTTTCATCATAAACAATAACAAGGTGAATATGTTTTACAGTGCATTTTTGAAGGTTAAATGGGTATATGTGCCATACAATCTCAGCAGACAGAGTGATACAATTTAACTAGACCACATAATCTGCCTATGCAGCAGAGGGTAAACAGTAAGGTACATACCCAAAATAATTAGATGCATTAATTTTTACTGCCTGTCCATGTGAAAGTTGGTCTCATTTTTTTAATTGGTTTCCTTCAAACCACATCAGTTTGTTGAGTTTCACTTTTTTATATCAGTCTTGATTTTTGTTGTAAATATTGTTGGCTCTATTGTACTTGATGTGCACTATTTGTCTTATTCACATATCACTATGTTGTATATGTAACACCTACATTTATGTTAATATTTCATTGGGCATGTTCTGTTCTGTAAATTTTTTTGGGAGTGAAATGTATGAGAAAGTATATCCATTCTTCAACTTATATATAGTGTGAAAATATCTCTATGCTTTGTAGTATATTGACGTGTGTATAAAAGATACTTGGTTAATACTAAACTAAACCATAAGGACGTTCTTCAGAGACAAAAATGTTAGGGGATGCAATGTGTACTATGAGACAGCATTTTTTAAAGTTGATTCATAGAAATTATAATGGCTACATGCTTTTGATTTTTAATTTATTTAGTAAAACGGATCAGTTATCTTTGGTCTGGGTTCCAAATAATAATTCTTTAAATAAAATCATGCATTTTTCCTGGCAAAACCCATTTTTTTCATGCAGTATTAGGAAAGAAATAGCTAATAGGAGCTTAATGAGTTGATGTTTACAGTACATTTTTCAAATTAATTTCCAAAAGTTCATGGAAGTTGTTAAGACAGAATGAACAGGTGGTGCTTCAATGTGCAAATCTTGTTGCATCAAATGTTTGTGCTTTATATACAAATAAAATACACTAGTAACCTTGAGGTTTGTCATGTGTAATTTGGCATGCTCCGTCTGCTTTTCATTCAAAATATTAAAGCAATGTAACATTTGATGACCATTAATTAATTAATTTCTTGAGAAAAATCCTTATTTAAAAAAATTAAAAGATCCGCATATTTACTTGGGTGATCTTTCAAAAATTATTCACCAGGACCTGATAAGAAACATCATTTTTAAAAAGTCTGATTGACATCTTTTATCCAAATATATACATATATAAAAAGCAAAATTAAAAAAAACTTTCATAGGTATTATGTTCTTAAATATTCTTTAAGCTTCAATTGACATTGTGCAAAACTGCATAAATGAGCTCCTTTAAAAGATACATAAAAAATACATCTGTACTAATGTGTAAAAGTTCACCAAATGAAACCTCTCATTCTAATAAAAAGAATGCAACACGTAGCATTAACTACTTGTGAATCACATAAATTTCTTACTACTGCAACAACGTTATAACAAACTCCATAAGTGTTACTGGAACCTTAGTATCACAGAGAGAAACTGAGGTGGGATACCTACTAGTTTACCATTACACCAATACAGGTTATTTATATTATCACCACAGTCATTATAAATTCACAGACATTTCCTTTGAAAATCTATTGCTTTCAAACAATGAGTCTACAATATCACGTACAGGTCTGTTGTACACTATACTAGTCAATTACAGATTCAGGGGTTTTCAAGATCCCCCACCACCTCCCTCCGCTGACTTTTCGCCCTTTTTGATCAAAAGTTCTCAGCAACTAATTATATAAATGTAAATTACAGTAATTACTCGATCTTTTTAATGGGGGAAAATTGTGAATTTTATATCGATTAGAGGATTCATATCGAGGGTTAGCAATGAAATTAAAANACTGTATACCATATCATAGTATGATGTGTGCAGGAGTGGACCTAGGTACAGTTGGTGAAGGGGTAAATTCTCACCACTGAAGCAAACTTATGTTAATGTAATTCGTGGCTAGGCTTTATAAATGGCATGGAAATGATGGGAGTTTTTGAATAAGAGGTTTCTGGAGTGGTGAAAACCTCTACGCAAATTTCCTAACCATGTCCCAGGAAAGAGGTCAAAATAAGATGGTTCTGGAAATGGGTCAATACCATGGCGTTAGCGTGTGTAATATTCGCACGTAAATGTTCGTATTTTAAAATACACAAATTACAATGTTAGTACATCTTAAATCAATTGGTCACTTTGCGCCGTTTAATAACTACCTGGCCCACTACTTTGAGCTTGATGTATTCCTTTTCTTTGTCTTTGTTGTCACCGGCTCCTTCTCCGGGGCTGTCGCCACTCTTGTTTTGTAACTGCTGCTCCTGAATAAGACATGATACACACATTTTAAAATGACAAAACCCAGTTTTACACCATGAAGAATAATCGAAAACGTTGATTTAAGAGTGTGTAATTTACAAATCAGGATAGATAGATTTCTCTTTCGTTACCTCAGACATACTGCTTCACGTTAGAATCCGGGAACTTGAAGCGGCAAAACGGAATGTCGGGAAGGCAAATTTGAACATTTTATTTTTAAAACTTTTGCAGGTTTTTCGTAAACAAATAAAGTTTTGACACAAATTTGTAATTCATTAGAAAGTATCGTACTTATATTGCCAATTGGTTTCCGAACTTAAAACGTTATAGAATTTTTTCAGGTCAATCTCAAGGTCAAATCCACATCACCCGAGGTCATCGTCAGATCGTGGCGTGACTTCCTTATTACCTGCTTAACTTGTGGTAAGTAACTGTGACAGACACGTTAACCGAATTTTGCGCATTTACAAGGCTTTGGATGCACGTATTATGATAATAAAACTGTGTTTCAATTTAATATAGAACTCTAAACTCAGTATTTGAGGCTTAGGGATATTACTTCCGGAAAGAGGTCAAGTTTGACTTCCGCCGGCAAGCACCTGGTGCATAGACAACAAATCGAGATCCAGTGTGCAGCTGACACAGCACAAACTTTTTGCTGACACTGATTTTTGCAGCCGCCCAGAAGATATATAAATGTGCTGATAACTGAGACATATATTTTTTGAGCTCTTGGATTGTGGAGAATATAGTTTTGGACATTTACAAGTTTTGAAAGTTGCAGCAATTTAGCATACAACTTGCCGGTCACACAAATTGATTTGTATTAAGTCTGTGGTAAGTATTGATTTCTCATGGACTGTTCATCGCTTTTCCTCATTGCTATTTTTTTTTAATTTACTGATAAATACCAAAAGATAACTTTTACATTCAGCAGTTTTCTCAATTATCAAATTTCTATTTATAATTTTAATTGGTTTAAAAGTCTAGTAAGTTTTGATTGTTGGTGAGTGAAACCTCTCATCATAGACTTTCCTTAACGTGAGCCCCAGAAAGATAAAAAGAGGTAAATATGCTCATATCAATCACTGTTTTAACTAGCACTTTGACACAAAGGTTTGGCAAACGGTCAAATTGCAGTTCTCTTAATTTGTACCCCAAATCCTGGGGAAACGCCAGGCTAAACCCAAGCAAGCCCATCTAACAACCCAAAAATTTTGTAGGCCCTCTATCCATCTTTTGATCCTTATGGACATCAATTGACGGCTGGTGGCTCTCTGGGGAAAGCCTTGCTTACAGCTCACAAAGTATCCATCATGGCCCCTATGGGTGGGGGAGGAGAGTTCTGAGTAGTTTATGGTCAATTTTTCTGCTTTGGTCCTGTTACCATACTAATAGGTGCTTAGACTTGTGTAGACTGAAGAGTCAGTTGTGGCTGTTAAAGGGATAATAACTCTTCGTTTTGGCCAAAAAAATGAATTTTCCTGGAGTAAACAACAATTTTCCCATACTTACCAATGGTTAATGAATCCATTTTTACATTCAAAGTTAGTCCCTGTTTTTTTTCTAATAACTTTCTTTTTTTTTTTTTTGTTATAATCTCTTAAGATATAGCCATCAATGGAGGACTAAAGACAAGCTCAGATATCAGAATATTAGCTATAACTGCCATTTTTGTGGTAAAACAGAATATATTATATTTCTATGAGTTGTTCCTAATGTTTTTATTGTGAAATATAGATCTCATACGAAGAGTTATTATCCCTTTAAGTTTTGGTACAAATTATTAGTAGCCAACTTTGAGGTATTTCATTCTTGCCTGTCATTTATGAAAATATTCCAAAGTCTCATAAGAAAAAAAAATGATTGTATGTCTAAGAAAAACTTTCATGTTTTTTATGAAAATAATGGTATCTTTGATAAAAATTGATTCATAAGATATTGATTTGCCTAAAAAGGAAAAAAAAAGAATTGATGGAAAGGAGAGATATTCTACAAAAGAAAAATTGATAAATAAATTGCTATTTCAAATAAAGAAAAAAGAATGTGCATACTTTTTTTTTATATAAAATTGATGTTAGGATCTAGATAAGGATATTCGGTTCTTTAGGAGCTGATACAAGGAATTTATAAGTATTACTTATTTGCACAAGAATGGTACTTTTTATTTACTTGACATGCTACTGCCTGGCAACAAAGAAATTATGTACCAGACTGGGGTAGCGCTAGCAATATTTTTTGCTTAGCCAAATCACTATGTTTTTCCATCACTTTTTTCTCCATATGCTTTAAATTTGACTAAAACAAATCAAATCAACTCTATTTTGCTTAGCCAATTTAAGTCAGTTTTACGGCTAAATTGGCAAGTGCTAGCGCTACCCCAGCCAATGACTGCAGCACAATCACATAGGCCTTGGACAGGTAACATTTCAACACCTTAAAAAGTTTGTAACTTGTTTGTCTAGAGTGCCAAAATGAATTGGGTGACAGAGTGATAAATTTATCTTGGGGGGATGGGGGGGGGAGGGGGCGAGGTGAGGTGAAGGATTCGGAGGGGGACTATTGGCCGTACTGTCCAAATGAGGTTTCACGCATTGAGCACATGTGTAGCAGCAGTTGCAGTCTAGACTGAGCATTGACACCACATTAATTTACATTGCTAATGTCTGTGGTGAGCCAAAGCTTGTATAGTGCTGCCTTTGAGTACTCTTTACAGCATAGAGTGGTCTGTATACCTAGTGCATCTATACTTTATTAGGAGGAAGCTTTTTTTTTGGGGGGGGGGGGAGCCGAACCTAATTCCGAAAATTCTTTATAAAATCTAATGAGGTCCAAATTAATGGAGTAAATGGAAAGTTTCCTTTGTATATTTATGTATTATGAGTATACTTGAAGGTGACCCTCTTGCAGAAAACTTTAAAAAAATCAATAGCAGTGTCATGTGGATCTATCAGATTGTTCATGGTTCCAAGAGTTTCAATTTTCTAACATTGATTCTGAAGTGATATTAAGTGTCATTTTGTAATTTAATTTTCTGTCTGTGATGTTATCTCTGGCTTCCATGTGTTGAAGCTACATTGAAACACCTTGTTTCAGTAATTACTTCAGAAAATCTGTTCAGGTACTATTCCTCCTTTAAGTTACTAGATTTGCAGTAAGATGTAGACCTTGGGGTGGGGAATTCAGATGAATTTTAGCCCCAAGATTGGTTTAAACTTTTTCTAGTACACCAAAGATCTGGTCAAATTCACCTCTAGACAAATATCCTAGTCAGTTTACTTAATAAGTAAATAAGTATTGGTTTGAAACATGAACCATGTTTTTTTTTTTTTTAATACTATAAAAATTTATTAATTTATTATTGATATTACTTTTGTACTACCAGTAGTATGTATATTTGCAAGATCTATGAAATCTAATAAACTAATTTATAAATCATGTGTCTTCATGTTATTTTATTAATTAATAAATCTTCAGAATATGGTGGTTTGTTGTCAGTAACTTCATACTGACATATGAGATGTAATTAATTAGAAATTTTGTCTTAAAACTTGTAAGGAATAAGACTTCTGATAGCTTATGTTTGATGTGATAATTTATCGCATAGGCATTGTTTATTCATTCATCTTTCTTCCTTTCATTCACATGCTCGATCACTCACATATTATTTTTTTATAATTATTATTTTTTTATTTACATTCAGGTCTAGAATCTCTGTACAATGTCTGCCAAGGCAATTTACGAAGCCAAGGGTAAGGAAATCTTGAACAAGTTTCTTGGTCACCATGCGGTCAAGAATCGCTACGCCACAGTGACAGTGGACACAAACTGGGACCAACTGGTGATAGATCACCCCTGGCTGTCTACAGAGGTGAGGGTCATGTGATTGTCATGTGACTAGTCATGTGATATATCAGGTGACAGTTTTATACGTCATATTCATAACAATCTTGTTCAAATTAAAATTTTCTTTTTACTTGTATACTGCTATGCAAAAAGATTTTTCTCGGTTTGAACATTACACATTGCAATTTAAATAGTGTTGGGCCTACTCGTCATTCTCTTAATGACTTCTGAAACAAAACTTGTATCAGAGACCAGAAATGAAATGATTTCAGAATGAATAATTTTTCTGTCATTTCACCTTATGTACAGAGACAGAGTCATTTGACGTCAGTTTTCTAAATTATATTAATATTTTCATACTCCCATTGCAAGTATGGTTTATATTATTCAGAAACTGATAGTAAAGCCAGACCAGCTTATCAAAAGAAGAGGCAAACTTGGGCTGATCAAAGTGAACACAGATTTGCAAGGAGTGAAGGACTGGCTGGCCAACAAGATTGGAAAAGACTTTCAGGTATTCTTTTTTTTTTTTTAATTTTTTTAAAATTTATTTATTTTTTTATTTTTTGAAAGAGATTGTCAACATTTTCTTAGTTTCAGGTTAGATGTTATGTGTTATATGTCAGACATTGTATGTTGCTAGATATTTTTATTCAAGGGTTGTTGTATGTTTAGTTTTCAGTTTTAGTCCTTTCGCGAAATTATCATTGTTTGCAAGTGTTGAGAATGTTTTTTATTTATATATTTTTTTGCCTAAATCTTGCAAAAGTCCCTCTATGCCAAGGCAAAAGATTATTTCAAATGTCAACATTTTATCTCACTGTTACCAAAGAGAATAAAGGATCAGTATAAAACCCATACTAAGACTACTGAATGTTGCAATCCCAATCGATACCTTGAAGAAAAGTAATAGGAATGGCTAAGTGAACAGCTCTTGATTGTTGTCTTTGGGGAGCAATTTATAAGTTGAGCTTGTCAGATTAGATTATCTGAAATTCAGCTTGGTTTGTTGTCTATCAATAGGGTTACAGCAGAAGTAGATTTTCTCAGACTCCATGTTGCATGTGAAGGGTCTGGAGCTTTGCTTATTTTGACTTAACAGGCCTTTTTAAAAAAACCACATCTTTTATTTTTGGGGCATTCTGTTTCATTAAGTAGTAATTGTACACTGAGCCTGCATATCTAGAGAGTATAAAGATAGAATTGAGTGCAGCTTTTATTGTCTTGCAAACAATTAATGGCAAACAGTGGGTGTATTTCTCATCAAGCGATAAAAAGGGAGAGATAAGTTTTTAAGCATTTCATTTAAAAGTGAATGCTTTAATCGCTCCATGATAGTAGTAACAACCATGAATCAGGATAAGACTAACTCAGGATGTGTGCAGTGTTGCAGGAAATTTAATTAGACTTCATTCCCAGGATGATGTTCTATGATATCGGCATTTCCTAAGTCATAAAATCAATGGCTCTCCTATGTGTCTGTAATGCTAGAAAAGCTGGATTGATTGAGCTCAGTTTAGTGCTGGATCAATAAGAAAACACTGCTGATTATTGTAAGCTTTCCCTTAGCTTGGTAATTAAGAACACACTTGCCAACATTGTGCATTTATGTTTATACTGTATATCATTTAAGACAGAGAACTCTAGTTTAATGGTGTTATTCTATTGTTAATTTAAAATTAGACAATTGATCTGCATATTTTGAGAACAGTCATGCTAACAGTGCTGGGAGTAGTCAAAATAGCTGTGTAAATTTACAAGTTGGAAGCTTGCACACACATGTACAGTATACAGCTAATAGTATGTTGTTGAAATAACAGCTTACGTGTTAAGCAGCTCTGACAGGACACTGTCCGTAAAGTATCCAAGTTTTCTTGAACAGGTTTTCCATGCACACACACATACACACACACACACACACACACACACACAGGATTATTGATTTAGAAATGAAATATCATTTATTTTCCTGTTTTCTTTAGCCAACGAAAGACAATAAAATTATATTTGAATTTGCACAACATTGGTTATAAATTGATAATCTTGAGCTGAATATATATAGCTATAAGCCCATGCTTTACATAGACCCCATTCCCAGAGATTAGATCGATCTACTTTAGATCGACCTAACTCCCTGGGGGTTCACGCTAAATAGCTGTCAGCTGAGCAGGCACGAAAGTTAATTACCCCCTTACAACTTGTAGTAGGCGGGACGGACATTTAAGCCGGATTATCTGACAGTAATCTAGTGAGACTCCCCGCGGGAATAGATCGATCTAAAAGCTCTGGGAATACTCCCATAGACTGTCTGACACTGCCCTCCCCTATTTATATATACTACAATTATTTTAGAGCTTGAAACCATAATGTTACAAATTTAAAAGATTGTGGTGTTGTCTTTTATGTCTTTTATTACATTGTAACTGCTGTATATGTTACCATAAGTAGACCAGACCAGTTGTCACAGCTGTTGTCTGGGAGCCTCCCTTCTCACCGGGAATCTATTGTTATGCAGAATTATACCATCTTTTCAAACTCTTAGTAATGTTTAACTTGAAAATTGAACATGGAAATTAAAGAGATTTAGGTATGTTTTAAATGAAGTAAAAATAAAAATGATTTAATAGCTCATAAAAAATGAATTTAAGAAAAAAGATAATTTGATATCATCTTTGCACTGTTTTTCAGTGTATATTTTTTCTGTTTTGGGGGATCGGAGATGAATTTACATTTATATCCTAGTAAGCAACAAGTTTCTAGTTTGAATTACTTCCACACATTTCTAACAATTGACTCTCATATGGTACAATAAATTTTAATTTTCATGAAATCTTTGTACATTACAGATTGGCAAAGCTGTAGGCAAACTGAAGAACTTCATAGTGGAACCCTTTGTACCTCATGAGCAGAATGAAGAGTTCTATGTCTGTATCTACTCTCATCGTAGTGCCGACACTGTGCTGTTCCATCACGAGGGAGGTGTGGATATCGGCAATGTGGATGACAAGGTATGCATGTCTACGGTGTATGTAAAACACTGGTATGCTATACATATACATGTGTATCTCTATATAAATAAATGTGTAGCCTGTCAAATTGAGGGTCAACTTTTTCATTTTCAAATTTCTGTACCAGCTTCTTCTTATGGCATTCACAGCCAAGACCTCACTTTTCTGCTCTTTGCATCCTTATCAGATATCTGTATCAGCAACCATGGAGATTGCTAAGCTTTTTTCCAACGATCAAATACAGAAGTAATTTGGGCACTATTTTTAAGTTAGAATTTTTTTTTTCATTTTGCAAAGAGTGTGCAATTACTTGAATTTGAAGAAAAAAATAAATAACCTGGTTTTTAAGTTACTTTCCTTTTGAAACTTTTGAGGTTTCCTGAGTGACCGTGATATATATCTGTTCCAGGCAGTCAAAGTGGATGTTTCTGTTGGAGAAAACTTAACAGAACAAGACATCAAGGACAAATTACTGACAAAGGTTCCTGCTGACAAACAAGAGTAAGCTGAATAAAATGTCAACAATTACCTTCCTGTCTGTCCTTCTTTCGAATAATGTTTGTTTGTTCTAAAACATTTTAATATTTTATGTTTGAACCAATCCATATTTACTTAAAACATAATTGTTAACAGGAGCATGAGATTAATTTCAAATTACATGTCATTTCAGGATTCTGAGCCAGTTTATTGCTGCCCTGTACAAAATATATGTGGATCTCTACTTTACTTATCTAGAAATCAACCCACTAGGTAAGCTTTCAGGCCAGATAGTGAGTTCTTTTCATAGAATACCTATTACTATAGTAAATGATCTTGGTATTAAGGAGAAAATGCGAAAATGTAATTCTTCATTATGTGTAAAAAGGTTATGACTATTTATTCTTATTAGATAGAATTGATAAAATTTGATCAAGTAATTTAGGAGAATAATGGGTATGATTTGTGTCGTCGGGAGGTCAGATTCTGTAAAATTTGTAATCACTTCTAACCTTTCTTAACAGCTGTGTAAGGTTATAATTTTTTTATATTCTTCATAATTTGTAAAAATGTTATGTTTATTTAGACTTGCTAGATAGAACTGATAAATGTGATCAAGTAATTTAAGAGAAAGACAAGTACCAAAATAATTTCTGTTCTTTTACTTCCAGTGGTCACAAAAGGTGTTGTCCATGTGCTGGACTTGGCAGCCAAACTTGACCAGTGCGGGGAGTATCTGTGTAAACAACAGTGGGGAGAGGTGGACTTCCCGCCCCCCTTTGGACGAGATGCTTATCCAGAGGTTTGTAGTAAGACCTACAGACCTCGTAGTAAGAAACACAGACCTCCACCTTAGGAAAAAGGCAATAAAGAAATTTTGTTTAAAATGGCAGGAGATCAGGATTCTGTTAAATTTGTAATCACTTCTTCCTTTTATAACTGCAGATTATTCTGAAATTTTAACAAAATTTGAAAATATGTTTTTGAGATATCAAGTCCACTAACAAACAAATAAACACCAAACAAACTATTCCAACTTTCAAATATATAATGTTGTAGGAGGCAGCAATAGCAGACCTAGATGCCAAGACAGGAGCCTCTCTGAAGCTGACAGTGCTCAACAAAAGTGGGCGTATCTGGACCATGGTGGCAGGGGGCGGGGCTTCTGTCATTTATGCGTAAGTGGGCCTGAAATGACAGCAGGGTGAAGATGACTAATATTTTTAAATAGCTTATCAATTTGGACTTAAAGGAACAGTCCTTAATTACAAAGTGCATTGCCATTAACTCGCTACATGAAATAATTATGAAACAATTACTCTTTCCAGAGACACCATCTGTGACCTAGGTGGCGCCAGTGAGCTGGCTAATTATGGAGAGTACTCTGGGGCGCCCAATGAGCAGCAGACGCACGAGTACGCCAAGACAGTCCTGTCGCTGATGACACAGGAAAAACATCCAGATGGTGTGTGCTTGTGTGTGTGTGTGTGTGTGTGTGTGTGGTTTGCATGAATTTTATGCTTGTATGTGTGTGTGAATCCGAGAGAGAGGGAGAGAGAGAGATCCTTGAAATTAAAAGAGACAATTAATAAACTTATCAACATAATATTATAACACAATTATATCATACATCAATATAGCACCAAATCACTAGCCTACAGGTGAAACATTGCTCCCTTTGTAAGTTATTTTTTCCTTTTTTATTATAAAATACTTTTATTTACTGTTTATTTACAGACTGAAAGACTTCATCTTATCTGATTTTACACTTTTAGTTTCTGTCATTTTCAAGTATAAAACTGTGATTTTTATTAAATTTTCTTATTCCAGGTAAGATCTTGATCATTGGTGGTGGTATAGCAAACTTTACCAATGTGGCAACTACCTTCAAGGTATTTTCCCCTTGTCAGTGTTACTGTTCTGTATGATGAAATACTAAAAAGGAAATTTTGAATACGTCAACTGGAATAAGTAAATTAAATATAAAATTTTTAAATGGAAATCAGTCTACAATGCAGAATGAGTTTTGGCCATGCCTGCATGTATTTTGAAACTGTAGTCTCCATCCAGACAAATCAGAGACGAGAACAGGAAGACAGAATTGTTTCATAGTTTTTTTTTATTCTCCTCCGCCAGGGCATAGTTAAAGCACTGAGAGAGTACCAGCAACAGCTCATAGAACACAACGTAAAGATTTACGTCAGGCGAGCAGGACCTAACTACCAGGAAGGATTGAGGGTGATGAGGGAACTGGGTATGTCTACTGATTACTACTAGGACTCATTATGATGATAATAAGGAACTGGCACAATGTCTTTTAACATGCAATGATTTTGAGAAATCAGGGTGATTAATTTTCGATTTGAGTCCATTTGCATTATAACACGTGATACATAACTTGGTTATTTCACTGCCCGCAACTACACTTTCGATGCAAGGAGCACATGGAGTGGTTGTATCCTCTTGTCCCTTGCTTTTGTCACTTACTGCTGTAGGGCCTTGGCCACATCCCTAAGGGGCTACATGGTCTTGCTGCCACTCTTGAAAATGATTTGTAGCTTCTTGATCCATGCCTTGCGTTAGGTGTTTCCCTGTTTGGTGGGATTTGCTGCCCTGGTCTGTCAGAGGGATATTGCGGAAAAACCTCTGTATGGTCACAATCTGGGCTCCTATACAATTCACCATTCACACATAGTCTATCTCTCACCATGCGTGTATAGTTTCCATTTTGCCTCTCCTGTTTCATTATCAGACAGAGCAACCTTTTCCTGCTTTCGACTTCTGGTGTTTATTGCTCTCGGATCCCAAAGACAGAGCCTCTTAGCTTGAGTTTAGCAAGTTGATTTCTCAGTGTCTCAATTCTGTTTTTGACTGTCTTAAGTTCACTTTCCATATACTGTTTTTTAAGTTCATCAAATTTTTGTTGAGACTAGACCGATTAGTTTATCGTAACTCTCTATTCTTTTCTCAATATATTTATATGAGATGTAAGGCTGTCAAGCTTTTGTAGAATGTGGTCAGGTTTCTTATTTGTGGCTTGAATATAATTTTCCTCATCAGTAGTTGTTGTCAAAGGAGTAGATGAAACAGCCTCGGGCATTGGATTGTTAGACCCATTTTTGCTTTCATTTACGTAATAGATAGACCCCGAGTCAGCGAGGGTTATGTGGCATCCACGAGTGCGTAGCACGAGTGGATGTCACATAACCCTCGCTGACGAGGGGTCTGTCTTATTTAGACCACGGGTCCATTAGCGGGTTATAACACATTCATGCGAGACGTGCGGTTATGCGAGTTACACCACGTCTGTGTCTTTTGTTCTTCACTTCCACCGTGGTCTTACTTGTTGGTAGTACCCTTGTTGAGATGTAAAACACTCCCTGCAGCACTAATTAGGCTACTCATGAGAGAAGATGATTGAGCACTGCTCAATGAACTGTCTTCTTCTTTCCCTACATCAGAGTTTGGAGACTTCTTTCTTTTTTTTTACTTTTGCCCATTTTTGATGTAATTAAAGACTGTTTCTAGGTCCTCTTGATTCCTGGTATAATATTTGAGGTACCAGCCAAGAATGAGTGCCACTTTCAAAGAAAATTACATGCTAAAACAACAAAAACCTGGAGACCATTTTATAGCAACTGCTAACTCTGACCTCTTTTTCAAAAGAAAAAAAACTGAATAAATATAATTATTATGTTACAGTATTACCATTGTGATTATAAATTGTTAGAATAATTAATTTTAATCAAAATATAATCAGCTGGAATGGATATATATTGTTTTCTCTATGGTCTTAAGTGCAATGAACTCAACTAGGTACAGAGTGAGCAATTTTATTTTTTGTTTTCGTCTCCTAAATTTTCCAATTTTCTTTTGATCAGTGTTTTTTTTTTAAACCTCTCCTACCTGCAAATTAGTATTGCATTATATTATTTTATTCAGTTGGTTTATTTCAATAATTTAAAATTGAAATCTTTTTCCAGGCGAGACCCTGGGTGTTCCTATCCATGTGTTTGGTCCTGAGACCCACATGACAGCTATTGTTGGTATGGCACTAGGCACCAGAGAGGTCCCCAGACCACAACCCAAACAGTTGACCACTGCTAACTTCTTGCTGCCTGGAGGGGTGAGTAGTTGAAAAAAAAACTTATTAATAGAAAAAATATAACCGCATACGAACATGCTGTAGATCATTTATGAAGTCAGTGTAAGAAGAATTTAATTTTAAAAAAATAATTTTATAATTAAAGAGTTGACATGTCAGCATTTAGACACCAGGNTGTATCTCTTCTGTTCCCCGTCCTCCTAACCAGAGCTTTCTGATTGCGACAAAAACATGTATGCATTGCTATTATAATAACACAATGTTTTGACCCCTCCAACCTTCTAAACTTCAACCAAAGCTTTTGTCAAACTTAACGTGTATATTACTATATAGTACCTAGTAAGCATTGATATGTTGACATGCTAGCCATGTATTATTCTATTCCCATAGTTCAGTTTGATGCTGTTTGGCTTTTCCCCCTTTAAGCTTTTTGCAGGTTGATAACTTGCTGTTTTTACAATTAATAATTTCTTGTATATTTATTGTTAAGATTTATTAAGCAATCAGGGTATGACTTTTATGGCTCAAATAATTTTCAGGTCTTTTTTTTTTTTTTCCTGCAACCTGACAGTTAATAATTCTTTTCACAGATATGATTATTGGGAGAACTGAAGTTAATTTACTGTTGGATGTGGAATTTTCCAGCTCATTGTTTATGTCATTTGTAATTTGAATGATATAGACCATTTTACAATTGTTAAATAGGTTTTGTTTGATTTATTGCATACATGTACAGAACTTCTTCAGGATAATTATGGATTTGGGGGACATACAGAGTCATGTAATTTCAAAATCCTGGCTACAGATAAGATGAAAAAAAGACACTTGTCTTACATTTAAAAAAAATAATATTTTTTGTTGGAGGTGAATACTTACTTTTCTCTTCAATGCACCCCTGTTTATGTAATTTGCTTAGAATTTAATAAAAAGCTTTTTACAACTTTCGAAAAGAAAAAAAAAAGAAGAGATATCTATATTATAATAACACACAAAGGCTCAAATTTATATTTTTAAAAGGATTATCATATCCGTGTTTTAATATCATTCCAGTCTCCGTCAGTGAGTCGTAAAGGTTCAGATGCAGAACTCCACAAACCTGGCAGCAAAGGGGGCGACACCAACACCTCCATGGAGGCCCAGCTTTCTTCCAATAAGGAAATCTCTCATGAACCTCTGTTCACTCGTACAACGAAGGCGATCATCTGGGGAATGCAGAATCGCGCAGTGCAGGGAATGCTGGACTATGATTTTGTGTGCTCGCGGAAAGAGCCCTCTGTTGTAGCGCAGGTCTATCCTTTTGTGTAAGTAGATTGGAGCATTGCCTTATTTATTCATTTAAAATTGTTATTATTTTTTCTGAAATGTGTTATACAATATCATATGTTTACAACTGTTACGTTGTTTATTATGAATGTAGAAATCGAAGTGATTCACATTTTTTAAAAATTTGTATAAAGCTAGAAACTGTAACATACTTTTAATTAATTAATTTATTTATTTATCTTTTTTCATTCTTTATTTATTTTTCTGCTAGTACTCCTCTTGTAATAAGTCTGTTCAGTGGTAGATAAATGTTAACCACTTTCAAAAAAAATTGTAAATTCTGGCTCATGGTGCTACCCCATAAGTAAATGTCCTCACTATGTCATTCTATGTTTTCTAGGGGAGATCACAAGCAGAAGTTCTACTTTGGCCACAAGGAAGTGCTTATACCAGGTGAGGTGACTGCAGGTTTTGTTGAAAAACCAATAAACAACTATGAAGAGTTTTGTTTGGAGTTTTCCTTTGACTTCAGATATTAGGTAGAAGAAGGTTTTTGTTTTTGGCGCCTGTCTTAAGATGAAAGCAAGGACAGTAAACAATATATATATATATATACATTTTTTTTTTGTTTTGAAAGTAAAATTTAATTTGATTTAGACCACATTTTCATAAAGGATACATATACTTCTGAACTGCAAGCTCATTTTTGGGGGAGATAGTTTGTTTCATACGTGAATCACTTTAATTACAAATGGATGAAAAGAATTCAAATAATTGCAAATCAATTAAAAAGTCTAGTATTTAGTTATGTATGCATTATTCAGCAGATGTATGTGCATTAAGCTCTAACAGTCATTAGATGTACGACAGATGTGTCTTGTCCTTCAGTGTCATACTTTTACAGGAAATTATTCAATTTCTGCCATTCTTTTATGCTATTTAAATTTCTTAGTGTTAAAAGCCAACAAATGTGATTAGGCACATGTGCCATAAGAAGTCCAATTTCATATTATTATTATAATAATATTATTATTACACATTCTCTATACATCCAGTGTACAAGAACATGGCAGATGCTATGAAGAAGCACCCAGATGCAGATGTACTGGTCAGCTTTGCCTCTCTGCGGTCAGCATATGACAGTACCATAGAAACTATGCAGTATCCTCAGGTAGAGTGTGTGTGTGTGTGTGTGTGTGTGTGTGTGTGTGTGTGTGTGTGTGTGAGGGGAGGAGGTGGGGGGGGGAGACCCACTGGTTGACAAAAGATGGCAGCACTGTTTTTGCCAGGGATCGTCTACTCAATTGCATCAATTGAGTGTGACTTTTTTATGAATGCTTTTTCTTGCAGTGAGAAATCTGATGGTATTTATTTCCAATTGTAAGTTGGAGTGGATGCTTCAATTATAAAACTCAAAATTGATTTTTTGACAACGAAGTTAAAATTGATACAAAAAAATGCAACTGATATAAAAGTTAACTTGAAAATTAATGTTGAGGAAATTAAAATTAATGTCGAGGAAATAAAGTTTTTGAGAATCTCACATATCTAGACCACAAATAGTTCATGAGCAAACAGTGTAAGTTCAGATATTTTACCTGCTGTTCTTTCTCCCCTAGATCCGCACCATAGCCATTATAGCAGAGGGCATCCCAGAGAACCTGACCAGGAAAATTAACAAGATGGCCAGAGAGAAGGGAGTGACCATCATAGGCCCGGCCACTGTGAGTATATAGACTGGACACTGGTGGATAGAGTGCTGAGAAACATTCAGTGTACACGCTTGCACGCACGCACGCATGCGCGCACACACGCACACACACACACACACACACAGCTATTAAGTCATTAGGCATAAGGAATTGAGTATGTTATAAACCAACACTCTGTCATATTAAATTGAAATGTCTATTACATATAAATGCTAATGCATGCTTTTCAAGTTAACATCATTGATAACAATTATAATAATTATTGCACTTTATTTAACAAAGCAGTACCTAATGCATTCATTTTTCAATTAAAAAAATTTAAAAAAAAGATGGAAAAAGTTCTTATCTTGTATGGTAAAAGTTGGGGTTGTCCAAACTTTTCAAAATTCGTTTTGCCTAAACATACAGTATGTCTGGTCTGTTTCTTCAGGTTGGTGGGATCAAACCAGGCTGCTTCAAGATAGGCAACACAGGAGGTATGCTGGACAACATACTGGCCTCCAAACTCTACAGGCCTGGCAGGTGAGCTCTAGCTGACCAGAATTTTTGTCTAGGGACGTGATTATTTTTCAATAATTTTTCTATACAGTAGCTTTCTGTAAAGCCATAATTTTTTTTCTGAAATGGGCCAAGGTCAAACGTTCTTGCACTGAATTTTTTTCTTCCTCCCTTCCAGCATTGCCTATGTCTCCAGATCTGGTGGAATGTCCAACGAGCTGAACAACATCATCTCTCTCAACACTGATGGAGTGTGTGAAGGAGTCGCCATAGGAGGAGACAGGTAGAACATGGGCAATCTAGAATGCTTCTATCAAAACCCTTTTTATGTACAGACACAGATGTGTCTGTACATATAGCCATCATCTGCGTCTGTCGTCGCCGTCGTGCACTTTTACCGATAACACGATAAGTGGAACACCGTTTTTGCTTTTGGCTTGAAACTTACAGAACTGGTGAATATTCCTAATACGCAGGTCAAGTTCGANAATTTTAAAAAGTTTACTAATTTGAGTAACTACTTTCATGTTTCCTGATTACAGCACATTCTGAAAAACAAACACACACACACACACACACACACACACACACACACACACACATATATATCATATTTGTGGATGGTGTCCATTATCTTTTGTGTTGATTTAGATATATGAATAGGGAAATCTCTTAAGCTATCAAATCCACTTAAACCTGATAATGAATAATGTCAAAGTCATCTACAGCCATCGGCATGAATCTGCTAATACATTATCTCTGCTGGTTACCATGGTAGTGACACCCTGTCCTCACAATACAGAACATAACCTTACCTACAATGTCCCTATATTACATTCAATCAAGCATGCTATTATTACTCGATCTTTTCAATGGGGAAACATTGTGAAAACATGCAGAGATACTGTATTTTCAAAGTCAGAATTTCTTAAAATTAGAACAATCCTATTGAGTGGTAGCAACAAAATTAGTTCTATCCTGTGGATTAAAAGCAGTACCACATATGCTATATAGAAATTTTTGTGACTATAACATTCTGTATCTAAAAAATTGACAATTTTTTGCCACTGAAAAGATCAAAGTATTACCGTATTCAGAATCTCTTCTGTCACTTCCACAGCACTTACATGTATCTTTTTATTTTGCTTTCACAAAATATGGCATCTTTGGTCCATTTCATAATTTTTTTAGGCAAGTTTTTGTTCTAACCTTGTAATAACCTCATACTTTTAAAAGTCCCCTTTATAAAAAAGAAAAAAACAGTAACCCATTTTCAGCACTATTTATTATTACTTTGCTGTTGTTGTTAAATTAATTAACAGCTTTGAAATATTTTCATCCACCACAAGAATCATTCACTTATACTGTTTTGTCTTTATTACAGCATGTAAGACTTTAATGTCAGCACTGAGATAATAATCAGAGTACACATACTTTTTTCTAAGAAAATGTGCTGAGTGACTTAGATGTATATAGCAATTAGGTTCAACTGAACAATTAACAGTGTTTCCTTAAGTCTACAACACTGAAATGGTTGCTAGGCCAACTAAATCCAACAGTCCTTTGTTATCAACAACATTACTGCATGTGCAATATTCATATGCATATTTTTTAATTAATAGTAAAGACAATTTCCTTGGACTTCTTTCCCAACGTCAGTGTCCAAATTTGCCATTTGCTCTCAATCTTGATGTCTAGCTCAACACAGCCTAAAGGTGTATTTTTTCAACCTTAACGTGTGTAAAATGTGACTTTTATTGCAAAATACTATGTACTGAGACAGTATGGTTCATAAAACTAAACATGTCATTTAGCATTGTGTGGAATTCAAATCTACCTCAATATCGTTCACCATTTCATTTGCCATTGTCACAGAAAAGTGGCGTTGAAGACGTGGACCAAAGTGACTGATTGTAACTTGCTTCATTTGTGTTTATTCCTTTTCTCCTTATATGTTGAGGATGGTGGTTACAGGGGTCAGGAAACAATGTAACCAAAAGTAACTGGAAGTCATACTGATACAAATCATGACACACCTGCACCTAATTTCAGTGCCAATCAGACCTGCGTATGATGAGTTTTTCTTTTTTACGCGTCTTAAATACAATAAGAGGTTGAATCTTCTGATTCATCCATTAGATATATTGATATCACATAAGAAAAAAATAAATCTAATACCAGACTTTCAAGATTATGCATTAATGCAGCATTGCAATTGGTTACCACCAAATTTTAACAAGGAAATGAGTATCAGTTGTCCTGAGGGGCTGGTCACATGATCAGCGGTACCTGATAATAATATCGTGGATTTTTGCATTTTCACTTGAGAAGGTCAATATCTTTTCTAGAATACAATAGTTGCATACTGGGCAAGTGGTTGCAAAATGAATGCACAATGCAATTTTTAGAATCATTCTGGATGGTGCTTCTTAATTCCTCTTCAGCAATGCACTTGATGCTCAGACTGGCCATTTATTTTCATAGATGCAATTCATACAAAGTTTGCGTTCCAGTGTGAAGAACTCTGAACAGTTGTTATAATCTATAGAGGTAAACTGATCTTTAACTACCTTCTGACATTTGTCATTCATATTAAAAAGACAGGGAGAAATGTTCCCTAGATAGCTTAATCAATAATTATTTTGCACAAACAGGTATGAGATAACCCAGGTTTACATGTGCATGCAGTTATTAAAGACCTGATACATGCATCTTTATCCTAAACCACAGCTTCAGTTTTGTGCAACGCAGCCTTCTATGATGAACTTGATAATTTCTGCCACTGATTCCCCAAGCTATTAGTCCTTAGATTTATTATCTTATATTTAAGACAACACAGTAAGCAATCATGGACATTCAGATTCAATCAAATGATACATGTAGAAGACTGTAATAATAATGCAAATGGCACAAACAAAAATGTCACCTCCTTTCTCATGGCAATTTATTGCTTGAAGTAAATTTGGACTGCAATTTACAGAGACACAATACAGTACTTAGTAGATTAGCAATTTAATTATATCCAACATTCCTTAGAACTTTTTATGTCAAGATGATCTTTCATTGAGCTTGGCTTAATTATATCTTTCCAATTATCTACATGTACATGATATATCAGCCAGTGGACATGCAGGCTACAGAATTATGATGGCTGATGGACAAGATGGCAGAATGCAAGTGTATGTTCAACAGTCAACAACCTTATCTACAAATCTGTAGAACTAATTGTAATGACACCAGATTAAATAGAAAATTACTTGTCAAAGATGGCACATAAACATACATTTAACAAAGAAATTCAAAAGAACATTTATTAACATCTAGACAACAATCAACGGTGAAAGAATCTAAAATCTTATTTTTAATACAGTACAGTACTTTCAGTACTTTTCACCTCAGCAACAAGTTTTCCCTGTCCATAAGAAGTAATATATTTATCACTGTTCACAATTTCTTGTGGTTTTTCAGACCCACCATAAAATATGTATATATAACCCTATCAGCACATCATGTTTTAAATTGATGACTTATCATAACACTGGTATTATCCTATATGAGTAAGCCATGATCAATCTTCAGAAATTGAAGATGTTAAGACAGAGAAAAAGCACCATCCCAACTTTCAGACATGACAAATTTAATTAAGTTACTTAACTAACTAGCCAGCACAACTGACAAATATACAGACAACAAATAGGGAGAAGAAAACAAAAATAAAATGTAAAAAAAAACATGCAGACAGGTTATTGAATTATAAGGGGTCTGCATATAAAAGATTTCAGTGAATCATTAACACATAGATTAGACTTCTACAGGTGCAACTGAGATCTGTGGGGCACTTTTTTCTTCATATTTGAGCTTAATGAAAGAAATGAACTTGGTCACAGAATAGAAAAGAGTCACTGAAAATTTAATTCATTTCCACTCAGAGACATTACTTTTTTTAGTTAATAAAGATATGTATTTAACTAACAGTTGGTTAAATGTGGTATTTTAAACGAACTTTGGATGTTCTATTGTGATGGCTTCCCTATCAATCCATCTGGTTCGCTTCAACTGAAAGGAACAGAGTCAGACATTCGTGGACTCCACAAGATTTGTCTACGCAATGAACATACTGCAAGCTGAGATGTAGTTATAACTGGTCTAATTTAAAACCAGATGTCAGAGTCTACTTACACAGATATCTTAACTGCATGCTCTACAAGGGCCGTTCTGTGATTGTACCTCTGGTTCAATTTACATCAGTTGTGGATTTGCTTTTCATCTGCCAGGTCAAGTAGTAAGACAAATGTTTGATCAGAGCTAAGGAGCAGATTCTGCGTAATCTGTCAACTCAGATTTATTCTCCTAATATTGTATAACAAAGCCAAATATTGGCTACATGTTAAGGTAATATCCAGTATTTGATTAAGGCGTCCTCAAATTAGGTGAATTAATCTGAATTGTTGTACAAAAATGGGCTTTTGATCCCATTTTCAATACCTGAATGTCCCACTATGGCCAATGTCAAATTCACCTTTTCAGTATTTCAGTTTGATACATAAAAAAGCCTTTTCCAGATCATTTAAAAAAAATTTCTGACCATATTTAATCTAATGAAATTTCATATTATAATATTTTCAAATCGCGTTTTCTTCATATACATGTACTCTCAAACATGTACGTTCAAACAATCACCACAAGAAAGAGCTGGTTAGGCATGCCAGTGGTATTCAGGTGTACCAAAATTTATAAGGGGGAGGAGGGAATTTAATAGAGCTCTGTTCAATTTCATACTTCAGATATGTTGTTGCCTTTTATAAGGCTCTGAATATGTAGTTTCATGAAATCTTTAATTGTCTCATTAAAGCACCCTTCTCTCTTCTTCCCTGCTTCTCACAAGCAAGGCCTTGTATTTTTTTTTCAGAGATGATGTATAAATTCATGGCTTGACTTCATTCTGGCCACCTGATGATATATAGCAAAATCTCATGTAATCTTCAATACAATATCTGTAATCAGGGCTATTTTCATACAGATTTTCACATTTGAGATTGGCAGGCAGGTGGAAATGATTTCCCTATGTCTTAAGTCATGTTTTTTTTTCAATGAAAAGATGTCACCTTTGTTCAAAGGCATATTATTTTCACATTACCTTATGAAAAATCCATACAGTTAAAGGTGGGCACATAATCAGTTTACCATCAACAGACTGAAGGGAACAACTAGACAAAACATGAATGTCAGATTTTAGTATGATTCAAGGTTAAGTATAAATTCAAATTCATATTCTAAGTGTAAACTA